GGTTATTCATCTTATCTTCCAGGGTAATACCCTGATAAGGCAAGTATGAAGCTAGCCAGGTAGGGAAGGAAGGAAATGACTCTACCTATATATTTATGTATACAGATGCAGGTGTCCCAGCTCATTTTGGAGCTGTCATTCTGGAGAGACAGCACAGACCTCAACCGGGGCAAACAGGTACCAGAAGGAACTGACTGCTATTTCAAGCAGACCAAGCAGGTCCCCTTCAGTCGCTGACAGCTTTCTCAGAGCCTGCTGATGTCATGCAAACCCGTTACAAGCTCACAGGTTAGAAGTGCTCAACAGCAGCCAGCTCTATAAAAAGCAGCCAGCAAAGCCCTAACTCTTACTACAATGCAGACCACGATGTAATTTGCATAAAGGCAACAGCTTTTGGACAGAAAATTCTAAATAGTAAGTCTAGCCAGAAGCTAAAAAGAATTGCTAGCAAGCCATTCACACCTGTAATAGAGCTGACCACATCTACTTTTCATCAGCAAAAAAGACGACCTAAGAAAGGTCAACAGATGCTCTTGAAGATCTGACTGTTGAAAGATTTAAGCCCTTGAACTCATTAGCTTTATGCCTCAGAACACCTGAATAAAATGAGCTCTTGCTTTCTGCCTGAATCCTACTTAGGCTGGGAGCATCATCTTGTGTAAAAGGATTTCTAAACAAAGTTTCTTTTGGATATGTTCTTACCATTTAATCCAGTTACCCTCTGTGTAACTGAGAATGACCCAGAAGGCGGGGGGGAGGGGGTGTGTGGAATCAGGTCTCTTTGCATCACCTTAGGTTTTGCTGCTGCTGTTATTTGGTAGCTTTTTGTGCTTGCAGAAATTAATCTGAGACAGAGTTTCTTAAAATACTAGATACAAGTAACTGCAAGTTTTATAAACGTAAAACTTCATCCCAATGGAAAGATTATTCCACTTAGGCAGGCTAAACAACAGTTAGATGCACTAAGTGACCCTGAAATGCCTCCTGCTCCTTAGCAGATTATTTCACTGTCAATTCCATCAATTTACATTGTTAGTTTTTATCCTAAATGTGTCCAAGTGCAGTTGAAGTGCTGTGATTTTTACTCTGGGCACAGGTAGTATTTTGTAGACAATTAAAAAAAAATTTAGAAAACAATTAATCTCCAGTCTAAAGACCAAGATTCAGACTCCTTATTCCTGATGGAGCTTAAGAATATTTTCAGACACATGCAGAGCTGTCTATCACTGTACAGCAGACCCATCGTCGCTGTGCTGCACTCCCCGGCAGCTCCAAACTTGATCACAGCAAGGGAACACAGCAGAGATTCTTCCTGGCGAGAACGCCGGCTACCCGATGAGTCACGGGAGCCAGCGCTGGCCAGAGACCGTCTGCAGGCACAAACAAGTAGCTCCGATTTCATCAAACAAAAGGCGGTAAACAGCCAAGATACTTCCTAGTATTTACTACAATAATTTGCTACTGGGGAAAAAAAATAAAATCAGTACTCCGACTCTATTCCAGCTGTATCTGCTAACAGAACCAGGCATTTCTCTATCGGTTCAGGGAAATTACAGGAAAATACAAAAATCACAATAATACGATCCATAATCTGCTTCCACTTAAACATTAGCCAGCAATGATGATAACCGTTTCATTTGCATTAAGAGATTAGCTAAAGCACATCCCCCAGGGGGAAAGCCCCGCATAAATACAAGGTTTCTGCATGTCATTTTCATAGTCTGCCTGTTAGAGAAGTGACCATAAAAGCCCGGCTGCAAACTCAACGCTCGTTGATCCACTCGCCCATTTTTTTTTTAAACTTTATTTTAAACTGAGTAACAGCACTTGACCCTCACAGATTATTCATTAGCTACAGGAAGATCAGCTGCATCAAACCTGAAAGGAAAACAGCCCAATTTATCTTAAGGTAACAATGGCTGTTTAGGTGCAGAGGCGAAAATTAGTAGGTTTCAATTAAAGCCTTCAGAAGAGAGACTTTTCCCTTTCCTTTAGTATTTCCAACAAACAAGCTATGAAGTGCCTGCAAAGAGTGTGCAAAATTTGCTAAGGCAAATAAGTACTTATTTCTTCAATATAGCTAGCATCTTCTACAACGCAGAAGCCGACTGCAGAGCCTTGCAAAAGAGACACTGCAGGCACTGCTGCTGCTTTCATTCCATCGGATTTGAAAAGCTTATCAAAAAAGAGTGGGTTAAGACTACCACAAACCAAAAAAGTACATAAAATACACAGAGACTGACCGTATTTAATCACCATTTTAAGATCTTAGGAGTGTAGAAGCTCCGGGAAAAGTACTAAGTTACTCTCCAGTTTGATACCATGAGAAATCTCATCCCCAGTGGCGATTCGACAGCGCCCAGAGCCAAGACCTGCACGGCTGGGGCTGGGCTGCTCAGCACCCTGCCGCACACAGGGGGTCCTCCAGCCTCTTCCAGTGGCTCAACTGCCACTGGTCCAACAAAAAACAACTTTGCAACACGCTTGGTCAGCCTTGTTTTAAACAGTTACTCAGTTGCATAAGTTTTTTTCTAAATCCATAACTACATTTATTTCCACTTTGGTCTTAAATCTCCTCCCATATGCTTATACTCCAAGTTTATTCATCCCTCCTGATAGTGAATAAACACGCTGTTAAAATACTTGTCAGCATAAAAAAGAGCCGCCCTATTTATTTTCTGTCACCCTTGAAGGCACACAGTTAAAGAAAATTAAACACATAGGCTTGAAGCTACACCATATATTTGTAAATAAAATAATTTGACAGAACAAGATTACAAAGTACGAAACGAGCCCTTTCAGGAATTTGTAAGTACAAGAGAAGTCGATGTTACATCCCTTTTGTAAAGTTTTAAACAAATACCACTGAGGATAGGAGTATTACCACACAACACTTTTTTCTTACTGCTTTCTCAAAAAGCTTGGACCATATACATCAGTTTCAGATGAAAAAAATCACACACACGCGCATTGGTTTGGTTACAGCTTCAGGGATCAGTGCAGCACAGTGCAAGTTTCATTCACAGATAAAAAGATATTTGAAATAGGTACAAGAACATTCTGCAAAATATAGGATGTCATCTAACTCTTGGCAACCCTTTTCCCACCCCTTAAAAAGTGCTGAAAAGTAAGCACAACGTACAGAAACACAGGGAAAAGCACACAAGGAGATGGACTCTTTAACAAGAGAAGTTAATATTTGACAGCTTAAGAAAGAGGAAACAATTGCATCAGGAAGAAAACTATTGTTAGTCATTAGAAGGTATGTACAAGGGAGGTTTGTACTTCGATTCTGTAGAAAAACTGAAGCTCACAAGTCTCCATTCCTGAAATATAAATATTGAATAAGAGAGGTACAAAAAGTAAGCACTATTAACTGAAAGTGTCTTCTCAGAATAGCCCATTTTCCCCTGCTGCAGATCATCATTCCCTTATCTTTCAAGGAATAAGTACATATAACTACTTATTTCAGCTAGTCTTTGAGTATATACACAATTGTTTATTGCTTATCTGGCAATTTTACAGAAATCTTTCTGGTCCTTAGTCTCCATCAGAAAGCATTTTCCCCTTTTTATGTTTATTTCAAAGTAGATCAAATACACTTCAGTGCTTTAAAAAAAACCAAAACAAAACCCAAAGCCTTATTTTTAGAAATTGCCCAAGTTAAAAATATTAGCGCAATTTTTCACCTGAAGCAACGTATTGCAGACTACTAATGTAGAGTGCCTCCCTAAAGATGCTAAGCACATCTTTAGCTACCAGAAATCTCACAGAGGGCTACAGCTTTGAAGTGCTCTGCTAATTTTTATAAAATTATGACTAGCGTTTACAGCGTACAGAACGGGAGACTAGTGCAATATGCAGCATTGATTGTTTATTCAATAAATATTTAACCCAATTATTGCCAACCACAGCAAACAGTGCAGAAATTGTCACTTAAAGAGATACAAAAGTAACATCTTTTTTTTTCTATAAAGTCCGTTGCTACTATACTCATACAACTATTTCAAAGAGTTTTTTCTGCTTCAAAATTGATGCTACCATTATAAAAATATAGAAACATAGCATTTGGGGGTTTAACATGTCTTTGCAAGTTTAACTTTTACATTTATATAAGAACATGACACTTCTGTATTGAAGAACTTATTAAAAGTAAAAATGAATACTATGGTAGAGACATTTTCTGCACTGACAATTTCATTATAGTTTTTAAATACATCTTTCTTGGTCCTGGGTATACATTTAGAATGAAATAACTTGCATCTCACATTTATCCTGAGGTCAGCTGTGTAAAAAGGAAAGCCAATTTTATCAGGATATTTGCAGGCTTTTTGTTCAAAATATGAGATTATTTTTAAACAAGCCAATACAACTCCTGGGGGGAAAAACACCCTCTCACCAATGTTTTAAGAAACAATTTAGTATCATTTTTGGGAATTATTTCCAAAAATATGTAAGCTACCACCTCCAAATAATGTATCAGCCAACTAAAATTTCAGTATGCATTTGCCAAATTTGAAACTTACGAAACTGTTCTGAAAAGAAAACATATAAATCCCCGTGAAGAGTCACCCTAAGCTTCTCATCTCAAGATCCTGACCCGCAATGCAACTCCTGCAAGGTGAACCCCCTGAAGCCTGTGGGAATCTGCAGAGTCTTCGGGTCTGCCTGCACAGGTGAGGACGTGTGATTCGGGTCTCTGTCACCCACCACGGGTACAGTTATGACCTTGTCAAAGCTCCATTTTGAACACAGCAGTTATTTTCAATAGCACCAACAATCTCTCAGATACCAGCATCAGGCAAATACAGACGACATAGAATAGATTTGTTTCTTCCTGAATCAGCACAACTGGTACAAGGCACTGCTTGGCATAGGAAGTCATAAATAAGAGCAAAACAAGACAATTTCCAAGTTTTGTGACACTTAAGTTTCTAAGTTATGTCACATTTCAACGTATTATATACCGTGGCTAAAAAACCAAGATGGTCTAAGGGATTAACCAAAACATCATTGTTCCATGCATGCTTACAGTTTTCCTCCCCATATCCAAAAAAACCACATAACAACACATCAATATGAAACATTAGGAACATTATGGGTTGTTAAATTAAGAAAGTACATTTTATTCTCCAATCTTCCACAAAAGTCTAACCTAGACACAACTCAAGTATAAGAAGTTGGAAAATACTCTGATAACATTTGCAACAGTCTATCCCTGCAGAGGAGTGAAAAACCTATTGTCTAGAGAATTCATAGATTGAGGCACATCGCAATTGAAGATATTCAGGCATATTTTATGGCTAGAACAGGATTTTTCTGAGGAACTTCACTACAGACTTCCCCAAAAGCAGCTCCATATGGTTTGAAATACAAATTGCAACACATGGAAAAAACGTTTGGTCCTTAATCACTACTGTCTTCATCATCATCATCGTCAGATACATCATTTAAAGATGATTTAGGCGACTGGCTGTAGGAGTCTGATCTAGTGGACTGACAAGCAGTCATCTCCCCCGTAGAAAGAAGATCATAGCAGAAGTCGCAAATTCGCACAGGCTTGGAAGACTGGCTCGGGAGAAGAAACCTCTTTTCAGAGCAAGGCCCGCACACAACAAAGCCGCACTTGCGACAGTGGTGACGACGGTTGACGGGCGTAAATTTCGCTTTCTGACAGCGCATGCACACAGTAGCTTCTGAGTCTGGCACCCAGACAGCTGCATGTTCATTGCTAGGAGTCTTCCCGCTTTTGGAAAGCAAATCAGAAACACACTTATTTATGTGGTTCATCCACTCGGACTTCTCTGTAGCAGTGGCAGCGTAAACCGCAAAAGACTTTGTTGGTGTCTTGATAAGCCACCCGTTCCGTAAGTCTCCCTCATCCTGGATGGAATCAATAGTGACATTTTCCAGTGGGATTATGTGCTGTTTATTGTATTTCTTCTTCTGGATGACAATGTTACCGTAAACAAGAATGTCATTGAACAGGAAGAACTGCCTCGCTTTGGGCTTCTTCCTGCACAGCTTTGTTAGTACTCCCTCTCCGATCAGAACACGACCAGGAATAGTCAGAGGTTGACCAGCTGCTCCAAAGCAGTTTTCCACTATACTTATTCTTCTAGTATTTGCCTCACTGTTTGCCAAGCGATCCACCATCTTTCACAAGTATCCTAAAATTAGAAAAAAAAGTTTGTTGTTAGAACAGGACTGATTCCACAACAGCCTTCCCCAAGGAAGATACCAACCCCACATTTCTTAAAATACCTAACAGAACCCGCTGGCTCAGAGGCACCGACTGGGGCTAAATTTAAATGAGTATTAACACCTAAGAATTTTTAGCAACCGATTAGTCTTTTTCGAAAGCAAAAATGTTCCATCTGGCTGACAGCTATCTTTATCACACAGACAGCACCTACAGCACTGCTCTTGAGAGCCTCTGGCAACAGACTAGGAGGCTTCCCCTCTAGTAAGGTTACTGCATCCTGGTTTAATGCTCGTATTTCTCTGTATATCCTCCTGCACCTACTCCCTGGATGGCAAAAGAAAGTATCATCCATCATTCCAAATTCTAATACTGACAGAAACATCAACTTAAGCAGCTTGGAGACCCATGTTAGTGTTAATATGACAAACAAAAATGATATAATTGATGTTCATCACCATACCCAAGCTCAGTACTGCTCTTTTTTCAGTACATGAACCTTAAATCATGGGCCAAAACCGTGAATCTACCTACTAGAAACATTTTGTAGAGGCCACAGCTTGCACCCACCACCACCTGCTTTCATGGCAAACTCCTGAGCCAGGAGCAGGGAGCGAGTCACTTCCTGCTGCCTTCTTTCTGCAGGGGCCCCAGAGCCCTTCCCTCCTCGCCTACTCGAACCACATCTGCATCCATCATGATCAGGCAACATACACAGGCAGACCAGCACAGAGGAAAAGTCACACAGCTCGCAATTGCTCCTGAGAAAGACTAAGTGACCTGCACCAGCTGAAAGTTCAGGCAAGAAGGCTTTGTATTTCAGGAAGCTGATAAACTACAGAGTACACATGTTCCAATTATGGATTAAAACCACCCCTCATCCTTCTGCAAGTACCAAATAAGATTTTCTCTTGTAAAGGTAAGATTCCTAAGGCATCCAAAGGGCAACTGAAAATAAGAAGTTACCTTAGTGATTCATTCCTTGGCAAACCTTTAGCCTATCTTTTACCCTAGAGCTTCCTGGGAAGAAGTCAGGCAAAGGAAACTCCTGCCAGTCCGATCCAGACCTGCTCCCCCCGAGCTCCTCCTGAACACATCCATGCACCTGAAGAGCAGGGAGACAGCTGGCAGAGGCGAGTGCTATGGACAGACCTGTCTCCTGGCACACAGAAGACAGTTCTCCTGTGCCTTCCTTTCCAGCTACTGCAGGGCTGATGCTCACAACACCCTTTGGTAGAAACCACTGCTTTGAACAGGCCTGAAGGAAAGCAGAGTAGCAAATACTCCAGTGCCTGTTGCCTGCGCTTCCCAACACAATCCCACTTTGGGAAGTCCTCTACGTTAACCCACCTTTCCTTTTAGATCTACACTGCCTGCCATCAATACAGCATCAAGCTATAACCGAGATGAAACTGGGCTGAAACAAAGCTCAGACTTCATGCTGCTTAGACTCTCTTGCTCTGCCATAACCTGATCCAGTCAATCTTCCTATAAATCAAAGCTCAGATACTTCCTTACAAAATAGGAATGAAACCTCTTGATAGAAAATTGGTGGCAGAGAAATCTCTCATCAGGCCTCATCTAAATAAGTATGTTACCTGTGATTACCCAAATCCACATGCCTAATGTTAAGTGTGATTAAAAAAATAACTTAAAAGTTACTGCTTTCAGAGTTTAGTCAGTTCCACACTAAAATAGTTTGACAAATGGGCTTACTCAGATGCAACTAAGCTGACCTTTTTTTAAGCTCTGCACATGACATCATCTTGTATCAAAGTCTGACACGGAAGACAGAAGAATCTATTAAAGATATTACTCAGCACTTCTTTTGAATTTTCTTTGTGTGCCTTACAGCATTAGTTACAATATGTGAGTATTATGTTAACCAGTTTTATGGTTAGTGGAATTACAAAGCCACCAAATTGGAAATTGTTTTGGTCTGCAGAAGGTCAAGACAAAGCACAAACTGACTGATAAAAAGGGTTCAAGAGATTTAATTGTGCTGCATCAAGGCACACAAGCAAGTACATCTATGCTATTTCCACCAGGTATCACTCAAATCTTAAAAAAAAAAAGAAAAAGAAAAAAAGACTGACCACCTCCATTACCCTGTCCAGTGGCTCCCCATTTGATCAGTTAGGAAGTAGTTTCTTAACAGTAAGCTTAAGTCATGTTTGCTGCAAAACAAACATTTCTTTTTGTTCTTCAATTAAGGGTAACCATCACCACCTTCTTTATTAAGTTTTCTGAGAACTGAAGTGCTTGTCACTTATCTCTAGAGAGAAGACTGGGAGTCTAAGTGGAAGGAAAATAAAAACCTCAACAAAAAAACCCTATTATTTCCATCTCCTTCACTAGCCCTACTTTTCTGAATCATTACTCTTGTCAAGGTTCTCGAAGCTTTGTCCATCATTCCCTTTAAGAGATGCCCACAAGTGGACACTGTACTAAATCCCTAAATCCTTCTGCAACACCAAACTTTGCTGATATGGTTCTGCTTTGTTTCCTTCTGTGGCAATACAAATCTACGCTATCTGCCCCCCTCCCTGCTCCCTTGTGCCATTACAAAATCTACATGCCAAGAATTAGATCAGAGGCCTGATCAAGCTGAGTACAAACCAAAGTTTTAGGGCTTGGGTTGGCAGGATAGCTGCAGTGGAGGGAGACAATGGAGGGATGGGAAGGGAGGTGCTTAGACAGTGTCCTGCATAGAAAGTACATTGGCTTAAACTGATCAGTAAACAGAAGTATTACAGTATTTTTTTTTTCCTCCCAGAGAACAGCAGAAGACTCAAATTACATTAGTATGATTCATTTTTTTTTAAGGCTATGACTATACAGGCATATCCAAAATATACCTTTCAATAGACACCTTATTTCTTTCAAGCATTGCAATCACCAATACTAACTTATACACATGGGGACACACAATACCCACCTTTACATGTTTTATTTAGCATTAAGAGCTAGCCACTTTTTGTTTGTTTGTTTTTTAAATATACACCTTCCAACTACCTACTGCCACACAGCAAGGAGGCACAACACTGGCACTTGGAAGTGAGTTTTTCAAGTGATCAGCTTCACTTCTACTACAGCCTTGTCTAATGCAGAGGTGCCACTCCGCAGAAATGCTGTTGGCTTGTCCCAACCATTCTCTCTCTATCTACCAAGGAAAAAGTACTAAGGAGGGAACGCAAAAGATACACATCAAAAAGTTCCTAGTTTATTTGCTGTGGTCCTAGGCTCAAAAATGAAATTCAGGTACCTGACTGCCAAAGCCCAGGATTTGGAATGAGGGTTAATTGCCATTAACTGCCAAATAACCATTCCCATCTAATAACATACTAGCAATAAACAGCCTTTGCAAGTGCCAAAGCAGAACCAACAGCTGCTTCGGACTTAGAAAGCAAGGAGTCAGTCACAGGGTCGGTCTAAAGTTATTTAGTAATCCCATGTTCCCTGTGAAGCAGGGAAGGAAATCAGTCAGCAGAGTGCAAAGGGGACAGACCAGAAGAACACACTTTTCTGCAGGTACAAATCGATATGCACTACTTCTAAACTTACACTTTTATATGAATTAACTGCTAATTACAGCAAGTTAAATGCTTTTGCTACTCCACAAGGGAGAAACACCCCTCTGACCAAAACCCCACAATCATACTGATGAGTTTCAGTGAAGCAAGCTCTTGGTGTGAAGTTACAGTGACCTGTAGGAAGCACTCACTGCTCCACAACTCCAACTCAACGCTCTCTGCACTCCCTGCCAATAAACAGCAAACTCGGTTCAAGGTCACCATGAAAGCTTTCAAAATACAAGTCACCGGGAGAAGAAAACGGGGAGAAAAAGCTAAAGGCTTTAATTAACTGTTCTCTAGGACAACCTAAGAGAAAACAACTCTAACCAGGATCGTTTAATAATCACCATGGCTTGAAACCAAGACACGTGACTCCAGACTTGTGCTGAAGACTGTACTTTCAGCTTGTTGTGAAAATAATCACTTACTGGACTTAAAGCAAGAATCCAGGGCAAGTTAAGGACTATTAAGAAAGGCAAGATAATCGCATCTCTTCTAGAATGAAACTTTTGACTATGATGTTCAACAAACTCTCACCTACCAGCCTCAATTAAGGTAGTAAAAGCCACAGACTGCTGATGGATTATTCTACCTTTCCAGGGCATGAATTGTATTTCCCACACTAATAGATTAGACTTTTTAAAATAAGCACGCTGACATTTTTCTCGTAAGTTTTCAGAGAACTAAAAATCAAAAATGCATCTGAAATCCTATGCACACTAATGCTCATTCACCTTCACCAGCGTTTTCTGAGAAAGGAAGTAAGTTCAGAAATGCATAATGAGAAGCTACCTGAAAAGTATCATGATTACAAATAATAATGAAACATGGAGAAAAAGAGAAGCCATCCCTAAGTCACAAGAGCTAAAGTTAAGAGAAGATGTGTACCTCTTCTTCTCACGAGCACACAGACCAAGGACATGTTAAATTAAAATATTTTCTGGACACACAAAGGAACTTTTAACCCCAAGATGTCACAGTCCAAAAGCTATGCAAGGTTATCAATTACCAGTCTTTTAAAATTACAACAATCTTTTCTTAAAGCATATTCAGATATATTGTAAAAGATAACAGATCATACCCTGGAACTGGGTGGCAATATCCTCCTCTCTGCCAGCTAAAACTTTCTTTTGAAGTTTCTACTGTTGGCCACTATAAGAAGCAGATACTGGATTACTGTCCTCAAGATGCAGAATCTCAAGACCTGATCAAACAAAGCAGTTCCCAAATGATGGCAAATTGCTGAAAACATGCCCCAAATCTTCCCTAAAGCAAGTGAGGAATAAACCAGAACCATGGGCTTCAAAATGACAGGCTAGACAGCTCCACTTAATGGGAGAGAGGGAGCATCTTATACATAGTCTCAGTTTATGGATGCTACGAAGCCA